GACAACTTGTTTATCACAATAACATACTTAATACAAGTATGTTCGTAGTATTTTAAACATGCATCGGACTTACCTGATGGTTCTCCCCTCCTTTCTGGAAGAACCAAAGGACCTTGGCTTGAAGTGATCGCGGGACACATTCCAGTAAAGTGCTATTGCTCTCCACCCCGTACACCAGCCTGTCTTTAGCTCTGTGCCATTTTTCATCTACACACCAATACGCACACATCATAAAACACAGTGAGGCAAGAAAAATGACATTGAGCTGCTTTGACCTTTCATTAGTTGGTAAATGTACATTGAATTGTTCATTGTTCTTTTGCTATAGCACAAGTGCACCAATCACATAGTTTTTTTTTTCAAACGGTTTTTGTAACATGTAACCATATTTGTCTGACAACATTTTTAATATTCTAGTAAATACAGGCAAGTGGCCATGCACACCCACACAAACATGCACATCCCACAGTTCTTTTATACACTAACCATCAATTTGCAGTCCATTGCACAGCTGGACAGCGTTGCCATGGCGCACATCCTGCCGCCTGAATCGCCTGCTAAAAAGTGAGAGAGAAGCAAAAAGGGAGTAATTTTGAACATGTGATGAAAGTGCAAGTGATGGGTGAAAAGAAAGACAGAGACAATGTGAGCGTGGGGAAAAGAGGGCAGCAAAGATGGAAAGAGGGAGAGGGTGATCAAGTGAATACTGATTGGCATTACATAACATCTGGCTGGCATGTCTCTCAGTGTCTGTGATAATGACTTGGGAAACCAGCTTCACAGCATTGTGACTTTCAGTGCAAGATCCTGAAATGGAACCCGAGGGGGGGGGGGTCTACTATTAAAGGTGCAAACAGATGATAGCTCTTACAGACATTTGCGATAAAAAGAAAATGACTCCTGTACTGAAGGGTGTGTATATATGCTGTTACCTCCTGCTGGGGTAGACTCCAGCAGGGTAGTATCTGGAGCAGGTAATACCATCCCAGGCACAGTAGGGATCTCTGGCCAGACAACAGTCAGCACATTCTGAACCATAGAGGTCACATTGATGCAGTCTGACCTGAGCCAAACCCACTTCTGACCCAACATACAGCTGTTGCTGTGAACCAACAAAAATGTGGCCCATTAGAATTGATTTGCAGGCTAATTAAAATGAGACTTTGCATATACATTATGTCTTTTCCTCAGATCTACTTAACAACGCACAGGCAATCATGCAGATCATGTCAATACAGTGTTATGCATACTGTCACAATGTTATCATCTTGTGGCTAAACAGGAGAACTGCAGAACTGCATTAGTAACACAAATAACTATTCAGATTATTGTCTTACCCTTTTAGGTGATATTAGGATCTCTCTCACTGGTGTTTTTACCTGCAAAAAAGGGAAAAACTTTACTGTTATTTAAGAATAAAGCTGAATAATTGGTTGGTTCATTGTATGCTATTACAAAACATAGCTGAAAGCCTCTTGTCATTCTTCTGTCCATACCAAATCAGCTCTTAATGAAAACAGCAGCAACCACTTCTTGTTGAGTAATTTTCAGATGTAACTGATCTTAGTAGAGAAGAGCTAATGTATTCATGTTATAATGAAGATCTCTCAGCTGTCAGGTTGAACAATCACACTTGTACTCTTCTGATGATCGAAAGCAAGCAAATCAGCAAATCATTATCCTCTCGTGGTGTCGCTGCAGCAACTGAATTATGGTGTGGACATAATATAATGCAGAATTCACTTGGGAACAAAGTCTACTTTGCTTTCACATTCTGGAGCAAAAAAATATGGTACCCTGAAAACTTCTAGCTCTTCCAGCAGCACCTCCTCCATAGTATCTGTGTCTTTGTTGTAGATGGTGATAAATTTAAACACCACTGAGTCATCTAACAGAAGGAGAGATAAACATTATACTGTTGCAAACAAAAGCAAACAAAAAAGTTATGTGTGAAATGGTAAGAAAATGTTGTTTTAAAACTATTTATGCAACAACTTTGTGTTTTTACAGAACATCTATTAAATTTCTTTGGTGTTTTTCTGATGAAATACTCATTACTTGCACGTTTTGCATGGATTTATGCAGTCCAGTACAGTGCCTATACCTGTGCCAATGTAAAGAACGTGGTAGTGTCCATCTTGGGCTTGGACTCTGTCAACTGCAATTTGGGTCAACTTTCTTCTGCCTGGTTCTGTCTGTAATAGGACTGGTCTATGATGTTGTGGAAGGACTGGATTATACATCACTGGGTGAGAACGCAGAAAACGCAGGACCTCATCAGGGAACTCCTTAGAGCTGGAGAAGCCACCACCGTTCACTTTACTGGCACACTGTGATGTAAGCAAATAGAGAAGAGGATGGGACAAAGATAAGCAAAGACTATTAATTGCTTCATCACTGCATAAGTTGAAAGGAAAAAAGCCGACACGCATTAGTCATGCTCAAACTGCCCTGGCATGACCTGCTAAGGTAGCCTCAACAGTGCTGACATTCACTGACACTGCTCTGCATTCTTTCAGCACTCTGTATTTTAAAGGACATCCGCTCTGAACACAGACTGGATGTAGAGGAGAATAGGAGAGTGCCCTCGATAAACAATGCTGGTGAAACTGTTAATTAAATCACATAAACGTGATTTATTTCAAATTTGGGTCTCACAGATCCAGGTCGAGGATAGGGGACTCTGTCCTCATAAGGTGTCCAGTGATGCTCAGGTCTCTCTCTGAAGGCGAAAGGCCCATTGAAGGCTGCTCTGATGTCATCCATGTGATAGACACAGACTGCATAACCTTTAAACACCGTGCTACAAAGAAAGGGTTCATCAGTAAATTTGATAGAGAGCGAAATTCTTTAATTAAATGCTGACATCTTTATTTCTCACCTTGTTGTGCTAAAGAGGCAAAAGACTTCTGGGTTTTTCTCATCCTTGTTGTTGAGCACAAACACGTCCTCTGAAACACAAAATGTATCATTTAGATTTAGTGTATGTATTGTTGAGCACACATGAAGCTGACATTTTTTTTGTCTCCTATCATTGCCATTCTGAGTATGTTAGCATGCTGGCATTAAAATTTAGTTCAAAGTTTTAGAGAAAGATGCAGATGGTTCATGCAGATGGTTAGATGTGTCTTTAATGCATCTTTGACATCTCCAAAGCAGTGGGAGTTGTTCATTTATTCTCATGATGTCTCATTAATCACATTTTTTCCCTCTAAATGGGATGGTTTGTGTGGCAAAGGCAGTAATAAATGAGACATTGACACACGATGTGATGAACATCTGAAACTTGTAAATGTGGATGGGTGCAATATAAAAAGAAGAAGAAGAAAAAAAGCAATCATTAGATAACGTGGCTTGTAAGGCTTTGTTGTTTCTTTACCGAGCTCATCGAAATGCGTATCGATGCCATTGGGTCCAGCCACAGAGCAGATCAGACGAGTTTTCAGGAAGGAGGTCCATCTGTTCACCAGCATCCTCTGTCCTCCTTGGTCATTCTGAAAGATAAAGGCATGTATAGGTTTTAATGTCACGGTCAGTATTTACATTTTGGTTGGATTTTTGTTTCTGTAGTATTCTCACCGCACAGACCCGTCCAATACGGGAATAAACGGCCTTGGTCACACCTTCGGCATCCATCTCTCGCTCAGTGAAAAAGAAGTAAACTTTATCATCACCTCTGTCGTCATTGTCAGGTATAACTGCTGACCCAACAAATTTGGGTTCTGTAGGAAGAAGAATTAGTTGCATACAGTGAAACATTTTAAAAAAAGTGTTATATGAACAATTCTTTTAGGAAAATAATTGTGAATATATGATTTATTAAGAAAACATATAATAAATATGAAAAAATCTCAAAGCTAGTACTAATTAGCACAGTTACACTGATCAGCCACAACATTAAAACCCCTCCCACACCATAAAAATGACTTGACAATTTACCTCATTGCACCTCCCCAGCAAAAGTGTCTAACAATACAACAAAGAGTGCATGCCCCTAAACTCTGGAGGTCCTACTGAGATTGAGTACCTGTGGCACATGCCGGCGCAAGTCAGATCAAGAGGCCCTACCACACAAACTAGTGGACCCAGTGCATTTGCTGCAAATGCTCATGAGCCAAAACCACAGGACACCCAGGCAGCTGGTTTTGATGTTGTGGCTAATCGGTGTATATTGACTTTAATTATGTAGTGTAAATCACGAGCATCTTTTTTTAACATGATTATAAGCCTTGAAGCTATGTTTGAGAAGAAACATGTGTGCCAGATAGTTAACGTCACATTCGACACGAGTAGGAGGTCACAGTTTGCACTGCCACGCCATATGGACATATTTGCCCTTCGCATTAATAAGGACATGTTATTACAATCCTGTAATGTACACCAACCATTTAGCTGGGATCTGTCGTTTCTTTCTGTGCGTGTGTAGGTCTGGTTGTTAAGTCGACACAAAGCACCATCGTTCTCCCAGTAATCAGTGTAGAGGCCAATATAAAGCTCTCCTCCTAATGTACACATGGACAGACACAAAGTAACAATAGTGCTATTAAAAAATAACAGCATTTTCTTTTAACGTGATTAAAACGATAAGTATAATTATTTATTAAAATTAATTAAATAAAAAGACCACAAGGTGGCAGTGTTTACTGGCCAGAGATTTACATGCTTTATCATGGAACTAAAATGAAAACATGGTCATTTCACAACTGAGCCTTTAACTTTTAACCTCAGATGGGGAGGTGTTGAGTGATAGGTTGAGCAGTTCTTACTGGATAACGCTGATGTGCAGGGACTGTTGGGGTCATAAGGACTTCGTCCTCTGCCACTTGTAATGCTCTCTTCTTCAAGAGCAAACAGCCTGTCCTGAGGAAAACATGCAAACACTTTGATATAGGTGTAGTTATTTTCACAGGGATTCACAAAACAGGGCCACAAACACACACTAAAGAGTTACTCCTGCGCAAAGGCTTTGACAGCACCTAAGCAAATTCCTTAAGCTGATGTGTAGAGGAATAAATCGAAAAGAACTGCAGAAAGGAAAGATCAAAAAATGATGGATTAGAATGAGGGAGGAAGATAGATGAGACAACAAGTGATGGATGACCAAATGGAGGACTTCTGTCTGGATGGGTATAACCAGCTATTCTCTACTCTTATTTCATAATGAGATCACCGCTTTTACCGTTCAGATGCTAACAGCTGAAGTATGCACACACAAACAGACCCACACATGCTTACAAATACAGATCTGAACTCCCTATAGAGCCACAGCTCATATGCTGTGGGCCACAAGTGATTTTAACAGTCAATGGCAGTCCAGGGGAGATGTCATATACTGCAGTGATTTATGTGCAGCCACAGAACCCTGCTGTGAGGTGACTACCGCCCTACACATGACTGTAACAGAAGCCAGTTCTGGGGTTAAACTCATTCATCATAAGAAGTGGCCTATCAAAACTAAATGGAAAATAGCAAAAATAGATCTAATCAATATTACTGTACTCTTAGTCTGTACTCTGGTATGTGATTTGTGCTTTTATTGAAACATCTAAGCCACCTGATATTCAGTTGATTGGTCATTGGTTGGCATAATCAATTTCAATAGTATCTATTAATCTTTGTTTTCCTAGTGTATACATTAATAAGATCAAAATTAAAGGTAACTAAAGACTGAATACAATCTCAAGTACTACATGCATGATTTCGGGAGGCAATTTGGGATGTAAGTTTTCTGTGCTTACATAAATCAGCCATATCTGAGTTTTGTGCTCAGCTATGAGCATTCCAATGACCTGAGTGATGACTGAGTGTGGTTCCTGCCTGGAAGCTATCCCTGGCTTGGTTGACCTACTGGACAAGTGCTGGAATGCAGGGCGGAAACCTTATTCCTTCTGCTCACTAAATTTATAAGCAGAGAGGGTCCACATGGACGCTCACTGGCACAAAGCCTTATGCTCTCCAAAACCAAAGCTTTACATCTACAGCAGCATGTGCAGTGTTTTTACAGCAGAGCAGACCCAGGGCTGAAACTTTATCAAAACACTTCATGTTCATATCTATTATAA